GGGGGTTGGATCTGGATGATCTTGAAGGTCCCTTCCAACCCAAACCAGTCTGGGATTCTTAAAGGGAAGCTCCAGTGCTGGGCTGGCCTGGGGGGGAACTGGGGGGAAAAGGGGGTTGGTGCTGAGCTGGGGTACCCCAAGTGCTGCTGGGTCTGGGGGATCTGGTGGGGGGGCCCACAAAGACAGCACACACCAGCTGGTTTAAAAAAAAACACCAAACCACAAAGAAATAAAGGTATTTATTGTGCTTGGGACTTTGGTGCCCACGCAGCTCTAGTGACAAGGCAAGGGGAGCTGTGGCAGAAGGCACAAGGGCTGGGCTGCCCATGCCTTGGGGTGTGGGGGAAGGAGGTGTTCAGCCCCCCCAGTGGGAGGCAGCAGGTCCCCCAGCCCCCTGGGATAGCAGAGGGTGGGCTCTGTGTCCTGCCTGGGAATGCTAAAGCACTTAGGGAATGTGTTCATGGCTTATAGGTCAGCTCAGCTTCTCTCTCAGTCAACTGGGTCTTCCCCATGTTTCTTCCTCCCAGTTCCATCCCGCAGCCCCAGTTTGGTTTCCCATTGGGAAGGGGGTGGTGGGAAATGATTTTTGGTGTCTTTGGCTTCAATCCCTCCCCAAAGGGGTCGGAGCAAGTGCAGCTTGGTGGGTCCAGCCCAGCCAAGCAGGCTTTGGTGGTGGAAGGGGAAGGAGAGGGAGGATTAAAAAACGTGCTGCAGAAGGTCTGGGGGAGGGACTGAGGGTGGCAGGGCCCCATCCTGCCACATGCAGAGAGGGTGCAGGCACCCTAGGGGCTCCCAGCACCCAGCCCTGCTCCTGCAGGGATGAAGCCTGTGGAAAAGCTTCTCCTGCCCCACAGAATGGCCTGATCCAAACCTGTGACCCCATCCAACATGTCCTGCTCTACCCAGCCTGCTTACAAAGCACCACCATCCATCCCTCTGTCCCCCAAAGCCACGAGGTCTGGGAACCCAGGACCCCTGTGTCCAGGCTATTCCTTCACTCTCAGACTGCTCCTTCTGTCCCTGGTGCTCCACATGAGGCTGGTGCTGGCAGGATCCACCCAGCCAGCCAAGGGCCTGGGCTCTGCTGATGGTGGGGTTGTCTTCTTTGGTGCCACTGGACTGTTGGCACTGACTGTTGTCTCTTTGCAAGAGATGCCCTCCCTGCTCGTGGCTGGCTGCTGTGGGTGGTGGGGTGGGCTCAGTGGTGGCTCTTGGGGATGGGTGAAGGTCACCCTGCAGCCACACTTTGGTCTCAGGAGGGAGATAAACCAGGAGGTGGCAGCTTTGGACACCTGGAAGAAAACAACAGCATGTTGTGGACCTGCTCTGCATCCCCTGAGCTTGTTGGAAGCTCTCGAGGGATGGAGCCCAACTCTGGAGCCCCACCTGAAGGAGGGCTGGGACCACCAGCCTGGGGCCTGGATCTCCTCACCACTCACAGCCCCCCAGAAGCTCAGCAAAGGCACGGCACTACGTGAAGAGAAATGCTACAGAAAGAGGGGGAGCCCCCCGAGGCAGGGGGGGTCCTTCTCCCCACCTCACCAGCAGAGCACCGCGCCCCAAGCCAGCAGGAGGGTCCCCAGCTGGACCCGGGGCACCACGGCCCTGCTCTTGGACTCCCTTGGCACATGGTAAACGATCACCAGCTTTTCCCCAGCACTGGAGGAATCCATTTCATCCCCTTTGGAGCAGCTCTGGCCCCCCAAGTGGCTGGCGTGGGGGTCATCTCGAAGCAGGTCTTCAGCTGGGTTCTCTGAGCCAGCCAAGGCCACGTTGACCGAGACATCCCTGGTGCCCACGTCGTTGACAGCGAGGCAGGTGTAGGTGCCTTCATCCTCCTTCCTGAAGTTGGGGATGGCCATGGTGCCGTTCTTGAAGGCCAAGAAACGCTCTCGGCTCTGCTTGACGTTCCCGTCGCGGGCCACGTTGGGCCCGTCGATCTGGACGCGGCGGCCGGGGGTCTGGATCTTCCACCTGATCTCCGGGAGGGGGTTCCCTGCCACGCTGCAGTGCAGGGTCAAGGTCAGCCCGTCGTACGTCACCGTGTTGCCCAGGTTGGAGAGGTAGGTGAGCTGCACGGAGGGGGCGACGCAGTGGTGGTCGGGGATGTCGGTGACCGCCCTGCCCTTCAGCCTCCCGGGAGCCACGCACAGGGTGGATCCCCCCTTGGTGATGGAGACGGAGGTGTTCTCGGTCCACTTCTTCAGCCAGAAGACCTTGCAGGAGCAGTTGAAAGGGTTGTTGAAGATCTGAAGCTGGGACAAGGACGGGAGGTGGTCAAAGGTGCCCTCGGCCAAGGTGGTCAGCTCGTTGTCGTTGAGCCAGAGGGAGCGCAGGTCCTTCAGGGGGTGGAAAGCATCTCTGGGCAGCCCTGCCAGGCGGTTGTTGTTCATCTTCAGGATCTGCAGGGCGCTCAGGTTGCGGAGGTCCTGCCAGGGGAAGTCTGCAATCTTGTTGTGGCTCAGGTCCAGGTTCTTCAGGTGAACCAAGGAGGCGAAAGTCCCCGGCTCCACCAGCCCCACCTGGTTGTAGCCCAACCACAGCGACTGCACCTCGGGCACCTCCAGGAAGGAGCCCCGGCCCAGCCACCCGATCCTGTTGGCTGACAAGGTGAGGATGGTGACGTTGGAGGACAAGCCCTCAGGTACCTCCTGGAGATCCTTGTAGGCACACTCAGCCAGCAGCCGCCCGTTCTTCTTGGTGGAGCAGGAGCAGGGGCTGGGGCAGGCCAGGCAGGGCCCCAGGAGCACGGCCAGCCCCAGGCAGCACAGCAGGGGCCTCATCCTTCCTCCTGGGAAGGGAGATGGGATGGGGGGGAATGAACACAACAGCCCTGGCCACCGCAGGGATCTGCTTTGCCCTGCCAAGTGCTGAGAGGAGGCAGCAGAAGAGCGAAGCACCCGCGGGTTTCTCCCCAGCACTTCAGCTGGAAAGGGCAGGTTGAAATATCCCCTCATCTGTGGGAAGAGCTGAGCCTTCCCCTACCTCCGGGAGTGGGGACCTTCCCCCTCAAGCCTTTCCCTCCCCCATTAAAAAAAAAAACACGCCTCTTTTTAATCCCTGCCAAAACCTCCACCCCCCGGGATGTTTTTTCCCCACGTTTTGGGTTAAAAAGTGGGACTGGGGGGGTCAGAATTCCCTTTGTTTCTTAACCCACAGATCTTTCCCAACCACTTTTCCCCCCCGAAACCAACCAGCCCTTGGGACTTTTTTCACCAGGCCTCAAAACCAACCCCCCAGCTCCACATTTTTCCATGTCATGGAAAAAAAACAGCTTCTCCAGTGCTTTTTTTTTTTCAGCAAGAGAGTGTGGGGTCCCTGGTTGCTGGAAGATTTTTAGAGGGAAATATTTCCCAGCTAACTCCTTGCTCCCTTCTTTTTCTTCTTGCCTTGCAAAGGGGCCCGTGCCTGCTGGGATCCTGGTGTCTGGAATCTTGTATCCCACCAGGGAAGAGGTTAAATGCAGCTCTGCAAGGAGCTGGCAGCAAGACCCCTTTGTCTCTTGCAGGCAAGTTTTGCTGCTCCTGCCAGTCCCCAACCCTGTCATTTAGAGCAGAGGGGGGGGGATGATTTTGTTGGCAAAGAAAAGGAACAAACCCTGCCCAACAGCTGGGGGAGGAGGTGGGA